CCTCCCCACTCTGCTCCTGGCCCCCAGCCCTGGTCTGTGCCCTGCTCCCCTCCTTGCCATGGCAACCCCATTTCTGGCCTCCCCGCCTGCATGCACATCCAGTCACTTGGGCAATGCAACCACTGCTGGGGTGGAACGTGGGACGTGAAGAGGGATCCTGTGGCAGGAGCAGCCTGAGGCAGCCAGGATATCCTTACGCGATTCGGGAGCTGGCCAGGTCTGCGTGGATTCTGTGTAACCACAACCGTGGACCTGTGTGTTTAGATCTCTCGAGGCCTCTTGTTCAGCAAACCTGAGTCTCCTTGTGCCGTGCTGGGATGCTGACTGAATGCCACCAGGGCCTTTTGCTGAGCCAGCCCTCCCTGTTTCTGCAACTGGCTGGTCCTGGGAGGTCTCCCATCCAAACTTGGACAGGCCCTGCCCCGGCTCAGCGCAGATGGGCTGCTGGTGGCTTGGCTCTATGCCTTCCTTCCTTTCTCTTGGGCGGCGAGCCCGGTGCACTGCCAGCTGCCACGGCACCCGCCCAGGGTCCCTGGCGCTGCTCCAGGAACACAGAGCGATTGGAGAGTGGGGGAGTAGAGCAGGGGGCTGGAGGGCCGGGCCCCCACCTAAAATGGTGCTCTCCAGCCCTGTGTCACAGCTCCTAGCAAGCCCGTGTTGTTCTCTCTCTCTCTCTCTCTGCATGTGTCATGGTGGATCCCCCAAAAGAGACAATGCAGCGGGTGGGTGACCTTAGTAAAAAGCGCAGGAACCGGTGCTCTAAGAGGCAGCGCTGTCTATTGGTCTGAGCACAGGACTGGCATTGGCGCCTGCTTTCACCTGGGTAACTGGGGAATGATGCTGCCGGTTCCGGTTGAGGAGCCAAGCCCGGGGAAAGAGGAGACATTAATAACCCGGCAGACGCGTGTTGATGCTTGTGGGAGAAGTGGGCAAATCGGGGTGTGAAGGTGGCGTTGCTGGTGAAATGCGAGGGGTCAGTGCAGAGGGCCTGGGATGAGACGCTCCCTCTTGCTGTGCCTGGCCTGGGGGTCTAACCCTAGCAGCAAGGGGTGCACCTGAGCCGCGCAGACAAAGAGAAAGCATTGCATGCTGGGAAACGCAGTCCCTGGCTGCAGCTAGGGTTGCCAAGTGTCCGGTTTTCTATCGGGCAGTCTGGTATTTGCGCCCTCTGTCTGGTAGAAAAATTCAGACAATACCAGACATGTGCAATGTCCGGTATTTTCTGAATTCCCAGCTGGGTGCTGGACGGAAGCCTGGTGGGGGCGGGGGAGCGACTGGGAGGCGGGGCCGTGATTGGCCTGGGAGCCCTGTGGTCTCTCACAAAAGCCGGGCGGAGGAGGGTGGGAGCTGGAGGTCGGGACTCCCAGCCACTCCCCCCGCCTGGCTTTTGCACGCGACCAGAGGCTCCCCACACCGATCGCCTGGGAGCCTCTGGTTGTGTGTAGAAGCTGGGCGGGGGGAGTGACTCCCAGCCCCTTCCCCGCCCCCGCCCGGGTGCTGTCCAGGTGCCGGGTTCTGGGCCTCTAAGCAGGATGGACCCAGAGCGGGCAGAGCTCTGGAGGGGGAATAGCTCTATTCCCCTTACTCAGCGTGTGCCTCGTGCCTGCCACTGGCAGTGCTACGGTATAAAGCCAGGCCTTTGCCCTGGGCGGGGGGAGATACTGCACGCCGCTGGGGTAGCCCTCAACTCTGCACTACAGCACCCCTCCAGGGATGTCCCTGACACTGGCTGGCTGGCGGGGAGCCTCCGAAGGCTTCCTCCAGGGCCCAGCGGTGCTGAAGAATTTACAACCCAGAGGCAAGAGGAGGGTGAGATGGTCAGGCGGTTCCATGGGCAGGCCCGGAATCCTACGGACACTGGCCTGGCCGCCTCTCGCCTAGCAAGGCTGCCTGGCTTTCAGAGGGCAGCAGAGTAACTCCAGCAGGGGGCGGTGATGTCCCCGAGCAGCGTGAACGGGGGCTGAATTAACAGGGCGTGGGGCAGGGTAACAGGCTCAGGCCGGTTGCTTGGATGCCTTTTGCAGGTGTAGGGCTCTTTTGCGCCTGCAGGCTGAAATGCAGCCCAGGTGCGGAGCTTAGTTACCAGGCCTGGGCTGGCCCCTCTGCACCAGTGGAATCGCTCCCTTCAGGAACCCGGCCTGGTTTGCAGCCGACGTTTCCTAGGCGTCCGCTTCCATTTTCCCTGCTCGTCTCCGGGGAGGGAGATGCTGCTTGTGTGTTGGGGGCTCTGGGCCTTCCCTCATGACCCGGGCAGCTGCGTAAATGAACCCACAACCTTGTCCCCGGGTCTCCCCTCACGGGCCGAATCCACATGATGCTGGGACGCAGCAGGCTGAGGCAAAGGGCTGATCCCGGTGCTGCCTGAGAGCCTCATGCTGAGAATCTGCTCTGCTCCCGGCCTGCACAGGGCTGGGTCCGTGCAACTAAGCCAGGGGAGCACAACACCCAGCTGTCTACTTACCTGCCAAGTCCAATGTTCGGAGCCCCTGGGTATCCCTGTGATGCCCCCCCTGCCGGAAGTGGAGGTTTTCCATGGTTCATCTGAGGGGTCTGGGTGACGTCCGCTCTTGCAAGGGAAGCCCGAGCCCCTCTTGTCAGGTATGTGGAGAGGACATGGGCTTTCCAGCCCTGAAGAGATGCCTTGAGAATCAGGCCCTTGTCATTTCACCCCTGCAGCGAGTTTTGGACAGTCTCAGACGCAGAATCCTGGCTCCCCCGACTGGCCTGGCCAGGGCGATTTCATAGCGTGCGGAGCAGGGCGCTTGAGCCGGGTGGTGGCTGGTCACCCCTTGAGCTGGGGGCTGGGCGGAGACAGAACCCTCAAGCCAAGCCCCGAGAAGCGCCTGGCATTCAGCCTGAGGCTGCACGGCCTGTGCATCGCTTATGCCCTGTGGCCGCGTAGGGCTGAGCGCAGACTTGCCCCCGGGCAGTGTGTTCTGGCCCCTTTCGTGCCTGTTCCGGCCCCTGCGGGGGACCCTGGACTCCAGTTGTGTGTAGCTTTGGAGGTCCCAGTTCAGCCTCTGGTGTTTTGGAAGGGCAGAAGGGCCCCGATCCTGCTAGGTGTTGTGCAAGCAGGTAACTAAGGGAGGGGCCCTGCCCCAGAAAGCCTGCTGATCTAAGCCAGCGAGACAACAGGTGGATACAAAAAACAGGCGGGCAGGGTAACAATGCGATGGTTGGGATCAGCGGCGCGCACCAGCTGCCTGATCATTTATGTTCCATCCGGTTGATACAAGAGAGAACAGTACAATTAGCGCCGACAGTATGTCTGCTAGGGAATCCGGCGGCCCTGCTCGGGGGTGTCTGGGCACGGCTGTGTGTGTGGGTGTGTGTGTGTGTGTGTGTGTGTGTTCATTTGCACGTGTGCATTTCTGCTGCTTTCGTTTGCTAGAAGAGTGCAAACCCCCCCCCCCGTATGCGAGTGGCAGGTTTGTTCCACACACGTACGCCTCCTGCCACATTAGGGTTTGCCTGCGGTTTACATGGCACTGTGCTGGGCAGAACTTCATCAGGTGGACTCAGAAAATCCAGGCGGGGGCACCCTTGGGAAATGCAGAAGAGCTGCCTTGGATTTCGTGCCGCAAATACTAGTGCGGCACCCTACCCTCTTTCAGCACGCGGGCTGAAACCCACAAGGTGGTCTGTGCCCAGAGGTCCCTCTCTGAGGGACACTTAGAGGTTGCGCCAAGATAGTTACATCGGTGGGGAGGTCTGTGGAAAAAACCCAGGCTGTGTCTACATTGGCATGATTTTGCGCAAAAACATGCTGCCTGTCTACACTGGCGGGGAGTTCTTGCGCAAGGACACTGATGTTCTAATGTATGAAATCAGGGCTTCTTGCACAAGAGCTATGATGCTCCCGCTCAGGAATAAGCCCTCTTGCGTAACTGTTCTTGCGCAAGAGGCCAGTGGAGACAGGCAACATGAATTTCTTGCTCAAGAAAGCCCAACGGCTAAAATGGCCATCAGAGCTTTCTTGCGCAAGTGAGCGTCTACACTGGCACGGATGCTTTTGCGCAAAAGCACATCTCTTGCGCAAAGGCACATGCCAGTGTAGACGGTCTCTTGCGCAAATACTTTAACGCAAAAACTCTTGCGTTAAAAGTATTTGCACAAAATCTTGCCAATACAGACGTAGCCCCAGTGTTGGCCAATGCAGTGTTGGCCAATGCCCTATGGCCAGGTGTAGATGCAGCTTTGTTGATGGAAAGCCTCAAGTTCTGTCTACACTAGAAACACTGCAGCGGAGCAGTACAGCCCTGGAAGGGGTGCTTAGGTCTCGGCTGTAAATTCACCCTTCCTAGAGGTGGAAGATTTTTTTTTTTTTTTTTGGTCTTGTCCTCCAGGTGTCCACACCAGGTCTAGTTCATCTTAATTCCATCCCTCAGGGCGTGACATTTTTTTCAGCTGAGTGAGGCACTGAAGCTGACCGAACTGCAGGGTATACCAGCCCCTGGCTGGGTCCTTCAAGGATATGAGGTTCCTATGCTGACCGAAGAACCCCAGCCCCACCTCCGGCATTGTCTGCATTGCAAGGCTAGGCCGGCCCACCCACGATGGGATAGTCTCCGGTGCAAACACAGCTGGGCCTCCATGCTGGCTGTGGGCAAGACACGTTTAGTGCCCGTTAATACTTGGACTAAACCATTGAACCAGCCTCTTCTCTCCTTTCTCGTTGCTCCTGCTCAATGGTACAAAAATGCTCTGCTCCTTTAGGGTCCCGCAGGCATGCTAACATTAACCCCTCGTCGCCACTGCCTGCCGCCTCCTGCTGGCACTTGGAGACCTTAGAAGTCTGGGGTCCCTGAAAGGGACGACTCAACCCCTGCCATTGCCCAGACTGGGAGATCTGGTCCCAGCAGAGCTCCCTCCCCCTGCCCCGGGCAGAGCAGGAGTCGGTGGTGCAGAGCAGAGGGGATGCAGCCGGAGCGGGACAGCGGAGCCCCCCCTGCAGCAGGGTTCGGCTCCCGGAGGCTGATGTTTCTCTGCTCTCCCCGCAGTGGCCGTGGACACGACTTTGCACGTGGAGTGGAACGAGGTGAAGACCCTGCCTGCCCTCTCGCCCCTGGGGAGCACCAGGACGTCGCTGGTCCACAGGCTGGTCCAGCAGAGCTCAGTGGACAGCCAGGACTCTCTCGAGGTGCCGCACGTCTCGTCCCTCTGACTGGGGGAGGGTGCTCCTTAGGTGAAAGGAGAGCGGGTGGGAGCTGGTGCAGCGGTTTGGGGCGGGGGCAAGTGGAGGGAGGGCCGTGCACGTAGCTTCTCTGCCTTGCCAGTTCCATTTGAAGCCAGGGGTCAGTCACCTACCGCTTCTCTTAAGGCCTCAGCAGCTAGAGTCAGGCGTATCTATCACACAAGTCTTCCTCCAGCCCGACTCAGTCACACGTCGGCCTTGTAGGATGAGAACGGCGCCTGGGCTGCCCTGCCATCATGGGCATGTGAGGCAAGGCTGGAACCTTTAGGCAGGGAGCCGCTGGCTGTGGTGGGACAGGGGGATGTTACTGGGTGACACCCCCCACCCCCAACAGTCCTTCCAGTCCCAAGTCTCTTCAGATCCTTCGAACCTGAGTCCTTAACTACCAGACACTTGGATTTCCCCTCTGGCTCACCAGCCCCGGTGATCAGTGTGCTTGCAGGACACTTATTTTGCACGGTTTGCATGACAGAGACCTGGTTGGTGTAAAAATAAAAGGTTTGCCCAATAGAAAAATCACAGGTTCAAAGAGGAGCCAGTGAGGAAAAGCAAACCCAGGGAAGCTATTCAGCACCTTCACAGACACGCCCCCCCCCCAGCCTTCACACTTCTGTGTTAGTTAAAATCCCTTTTCTAATACAAGTTACCTCCTGCATCGGCATATTTTCCTAGCACGCCCACTTCATACAAGGGATCCAGCATTTCCCCAGCCCCACCCGTTTCTTGATTTAAAAAAAACCCAGATGCAAGCTTGCTTTTAAAAAGTTCTAAGCCCCCCTTCCTCCCCCCCCTGCACTCCCGCCTTCTTTCTCCTGGCATGGTTATATTCAGTGTAAACTCCCTCCTCCCTTCAGTTTCCAAGACAGGGTGGGGTTTTTTGGGTTTTTTTTGCCAGTTTCAATGTCGTTCCATTCACTTTAGCGGTCCCCCATTGTCTGTCCCTGGCTGTTCCTTGGAGTCAGTTTTTTGGAAACATCAGGCTTGGGAGAAGCCCCCCTCCCCGTTCTGTGTTTGAAATTGTAGACCAAGTCAAGAGCTTAGTCTTTTACATACACAGATCGGTGGCCGCAGTCTGGATCCCTGTCGTATCAAGCCCATTGATTCAGTCGCTTGCTCTTTGGGGTTCGGACCCCCTGTTCTGCCCTTGGGGCGTCTGGCACCTGAGGGCCACAGCAGCATCTCGGCGGTTACGGTGTTGGAGGACTACAGCTCCCCCAGGTGCCCAAAATCAGGGGTGTCTGGGTCAAGTTTGGAGGCAGCTCTGTGCATGCTCAGTGACATGTGTGCCCCGCTTGCTCACACCCTCAATGTCCTTGTGTTGCCAGGGCTGCCCACATTCACTCCTGTGTGCCTCCTAGCTACTGAGGCCTGAAAAGGTGAGACCAGGGAAGGGAGCCCCAATCCCCATGTAAACCCCCCCCCCCATGCTGCTCCAATGTCCATTCACCCACCCCATCACCCTGAGCAACTATATAGCCCCCAAGTCGAACTGCCCTAGGTTGGGGCAAGGGGGTGGAATGTCCTCCCTCCCGCCCCAGCCGAAGCCATCAGCAAGTGCATCTAGCGCTGTACCCGGGGTGCTGAGCACTGCGGGGTCAGTGCCATGCTCCTGGGGTGCAGGGGGGCTGTGCTGCAGTGCTGCATGGGCTGGGCCGGGACCAGTGCTCGCAAAACGTGGGTGGGCCTGGTGTCTGCTCCTGCCTCCAGGCAGCTCCCCGCCCCCGCACCAGTCAGACCCACCTGCCTCCCAGTTCAGCACTCTCTCCTGAGTCGTCCCTAACTCCGGCCCTTTGCCTTGGAAGGATTCCTAGCGTCCCAGGCCAGAAGGAACCACCGTGATCTTCCAGTCTGGCCTCCCGGGTCACGCTTCCCCCCGTGATTCCTAGAGCAGAGCTGCTAGAGAAGCAGCCCCTAGTGCAGGGGTGGGCAAAAGGGCCTCGGTGGGCTGGATCCGCTCCCCCACACCCAGGCCAATTGGGGCTTGGGGATGGGGGGGGACGCGCACGAAGTTTCCTCCGCCCTGCACGCGACACTAAATTCAAGCAGCCAGTGTAGACAGCTGGCAAGTTTTTCCGCAAAAGCAGATGATTTTGCGGAAAAACTTGCCAGTCTAGACACAGCCCAGGGGTATGGGCACCCAGGAGAAATGTGGGGGGGCCAAGGCACTCCCTCACCCCCAGACCAATCATCATCTGGGGGTGGGGACCCCGGAAGTATCTTGGCCCTGCCCTTTTCGCTTGCTGCCCCGCCCCTTCTGAAGTGGCCCCGGCCAAAACTTATTGCCCACCCCTGCCCTAGCCGTTTAACAATTGTCCGCAGGGAAGAACTCCTCCTGACCCCGGGCCAGTTTTTCCAACAGTTCATTAGCCTCACTGTTAAATTGGCATCTTATTTTCTGTCCCCAAGGGGGGACCTTTCTCTGCTAGCCTGACGAGCCTGTTGTTCAGTGTTTGCTCCCCATGTAGACACTGCTAGACAGCACTTGCCACCCCTTAACCTTCCCGTTGTGACGCTAACTACGCTGAGCTTTGTAATTGTGTCACTGTCAGGTGGCTTCTCTCCTCCTTGCATCATCCCCATGGCTCTCTTCTGACTCCCAAGGGATCAGCCACCTTCTTGCCCGGTGGGCACCAGAACTGGGCACAGTGAGCCATCCGTGTCCAGGGCCGCATAGAGAGAGGCTACACAGCCTCTCGCTGCTCCTCCCGATTATCCTGTTTACACAGCCTGGGATCTCATTAGCTCATTCGGCTACAGGGTCACACTGGGAGCTGTGCGCTGCTGATTCACTGCTATAACCCCCCAAAGCTTTGTCAGAGTCACCGCTTCCCAGGAGCGAGTCCCCACCCTCCCTACGCTTGTTCCCAGAGCGAGAGATCGACATGTAGCTGTATTACAACACATCTTGTTTGCTTGTGTCTCGTTTACCAGTCTCTCGGCATCCGCATCCAGTCCTCCTCCTCCTTTACCCCTCCCCAAAATGCGTGTGTCGTCTTGGTCGGGGTGATGTTGTGTTTTCTTTTCGGTCGCCAAGGAAAGCGTTAAATAGCATAGGGCCAAGAACCAATCCCTTCAGGACCCCACTGGAAACACCCCCGCTCCATGGCGATTCCCCGTTTACACTGACATTTTGAGACCCCGCAGTTAGCCAGTTTTTAATCCCAGTAATTTGTGTCGTGTTCTTTGTATATCATTCTGTTTTTTTAATCAACATATTGTGAAGTCTAAGGGTGTGTCTAGACTACAGGTTGTTGTTTTTTTTAAAGTGGCCTTTTTTCCAAACAACTTCCCCTGCGTCTAGACTGCTGCTGTGTTCTTTCGAAAGTAAATCAAAAGAAAGCGGCAGTTTTTCCGACCATGGAAAACCTCATTTTATGTGGAAGAATGCCTTTCGAAAAAAGGCGCTCTGTAATGCAAACTGTGCTTTTTCGAAAGAGAGCATCCAGACTGTCTGGGTGCTCTCTTTTGAAAAAGCAGCTTGCTTTTTCAAAAGTACTGGTTGTAGTCTAGACGTCTTTTTTGAAAGAGGCTTGCAGTCTAGACGTAGCCTAAGTCTATTACATCAACACTATTATTACGTTCGTCAACCAAACTTGTAATCTCATTAAAAAATCAGGTTAGCTTGACAAGATCTGTTTTCCATAAGCCCATGTTGCTTTGCATCAATTGCATTGCCTCCATTTTTAATTCTTTATTAATCTAGTCCCATCTCCGCTGCTCTGTTCTCTTTCCTGGGATTGTTGTCAGCCTGACAGGCTAATAATCACCTGGGCCGCCCTATTCATCCTTCTGAAATATTGGCATAACACTGGCTTCCCTCCAGTCTTCTGGAACTTCCCAGTGTGCCAAGATTTATTGAAAGGCAACATTAATATGCCAGTGAGTTTAACAGGCAGCTCTTTTAAAACTCTTGGATGCATTGTTTGGACCTGCTGATTTTAAAATGTCTAAGTTCAGTGGCTTCTTTTTCACATCATCCACAGCTACAGAAAGGGAAGGTGTTTCCCCCAAATACAGAAGAGAAATATTTATTGAACAGTTTTGCCTTTTCTGCATTATTATTGATAAAGAGCATGGAGAAAGGTTGTTCTCAGTGGTGACAGAATGAGGAGCAGTGGTTTCAAGTTACAGTGGGGGAGGTCTAGGTTGGATATTAGGAAAAACTATTTCCCTAGGAGGGTGATGAAGCACTGGAATGGGTTACCTAAGGAGGGGATGAAATCTCCATCCCTAGAGGTTTTTAAGTCCCAGCTGAGATGATTTAGTTGGGGTTAGTCCTGCTTTGGGCAGGGAGCTGGACTCGATGACTTCCCGAGGTCTCGTCCAGCCCTAGGATTCTATGAATTCTACTGTTTCCATCTACTTATGGTCTATTATCAGTGTTAGGGTTCTTTTTGTTCCTAATATATATTTTAAAAAACTCTTATTGTCCATAACTTCACTGGCCTCACATTTCTCTTCCCTTAGCAATTTGCTACAAATTCGAAGTTCTGATTTATATTCATTATTATCAGCTTCCCCTTTCATCCTTCTAGTCTTCTTCCAAATTTTTATAGCTGCCTTCACTTTCCACTAAATCAGGTCTTTTTTTAACCTGCATGGCCGCCTTCCTCCGTTGAAGCATTGTGGCTTTTTGGCCATCGACTACCGTGTTCTTAAATCATTCCTAATTATCATTCAAATTTTGATTAGAGTCTTCCTCCCAGCTGATTTGGCTCCTAATTATTTTCAGCTTTGTCACATTGGCTCTGTTAAAGCACTGAAGGGTGTGTGTGTCTATATATAATTGTGCTGATCTGGACTTTATTTCACTTGCAAATTATAAATGTGATCAAATCACGATCATTTGTAGCTAAGTGACCATTCATTTTTAGTTCTGTGGCAAGATGCTCTTTAACTGTTAGGATAATAAAAGTTAAATGTAGAATTCCTATCATATTCTGAGT